TTAAACGTAACGTAACGTAACGTAAACGTAATAATACTACTACTACTATATATATATATATATATATATATATATATATATATATATATATATATATGAATCAAAGACCTCATAAACATACACATAGGAGTACGTATAGAATAAATTGCGCACACGCACACACACACACACACATACATATATATACATACATACATACATATATGTATCAAAGATATCATATATATATATATATATATATGAATTAAAGACTTCATAAACATACACTCAGGGTGAACGTATAGAATAAAATGCACACACACACACACACACACACACATACATACATATATATATACATATACATATACACCTACACATATAATATATATATATATATATATATATACGTTTACACACTCACACACATATATATATAGATATATAGATATATATATATATATAAACATTTATCCAATAATAATAGTAATAGTAATAATACGTAGATCTATTATAACAATAACAATAATAATGATAACGATGATAATACTATTAATAATAGTGATATTTGTATGTGTATATGTTAATATATATATTATTGCTATAGTACACAATATACGTAGTCAACTATACACAGAGCAAAGAACACTGACAACACACACCCTTTTGACATGTGACAAGACCTTATCTCATATGACATATCATACATACCTGGTTGTCAGTCGGGCAGAAGAAACATTTCCAGCAGAAGGCCTGGCACTGGTTAAACTCCAGATCACATCCCGAATTGAAACAGCACGTTCTGAAGTAGCACTGACAAGGCTTGCACACACAGAAAATGCCACAGCACTCAAAGCACGATGATCCTTCAAGTTCGTATGTGAGACTGAGCGATAGACTATTCTTAGCGGAGGCGGTACCTTCAACATCGGAAACATCAGAACCACCTATAGAGTGGGGATGATGCATATGTTAGTACGTGTGTAGACTGACTGGACGGGAAGTCCATTGTGTATGCGTACCATGATGTACGTTCTTCCATATAATTTGAGAATGATGATACTATTTCATAGCATTTTACAGATTGAGTGTCAGAGATGCAGAATGATCCTATACCAAGGTAAAATAAGGGTGTAACTATATACAATGCAATACAGGTAGATGCCCGAATAGAGATAAATAGACCAAACAAAGCGATGTGAACAACGATGTCTTGCCCGCAGGAAATAGATAACGCGATGTTACTGACCCGATGTCAGTCGCATACACAAGTAACTCGACAGGCAGAAACAGTGATATAACGCATACAGACGCAACCACAGAGATGTATGTATGCAAAAGGTCACACCACAATAATTTAACGTACAGTTACGCAATATATATTACCGATACCATTTCATAACAATTTGACATATCGTTAGGGTTTGCATGTATACCTGTATGTATGAATAAATGCATGCACTCACGTACCTGACAACGACATGGCAACAATTCATCATACTTTCAGATGGTGTATGCACTCCAAGACAACTTTATAACAAAAGAAAAACATACTCTGACCTACACACCACAACGCAACAACAAAACATACTGTCAGGCGATGTGCTGACCGAACCAGGCTGCGTGGTCACCAACTGACCAGCAATATACTGCAACTCCTGCTTATTCTTTAGTTCGCGGCCTTCGAACTTGATGTGCTGCGCATCGAATGGCACACCTGAGCGCTCATTAATCTTGGACTTCAATGCAGATACATTGCAATCCTGGGCAACGTCAAACTCCAAGGGGAGATCGTTCTCGGGACGATTGATGATAACACGCATGTTGTATTAAAACAGTGCTGTGTTTACTTTTTTAAAAGACTGATATAATAGCAAGAATTCGCCAGGGTATTGTATATATATATAAATATATAATATCAGATTATCGTCTCCCTATTTCAAAAAAGGATATGTCAACTCAACATACTCGTCCCAATAACATAAATAGAGTCCCGCATTTGTACAGTCAAAGAGCTATAATAAATATGGAAGAAAAGACTTTGTATAGATTACTGATTAGACAAAACCGCACAAGAGCAGAAAGTTGCACAAAGTTCCCCAATCCCCAATTCCCCATACACAACAGGAGAAGTGTTTCACAAAGAGAGATGAGATCTTCACAGTTGACTTGGTAACTCTCAAGGCTCAACTCTCAAGTCTCCACCTAAAAATATTTACCGGAATTGAGGAACCGCAAAAAGTTTATTGTTCGAATAACTTTAACTTTTGAAGTTTCCACCAGGCCATAAAAAACGTTTCAACCGTTTATACACCCAAAATAAACGTTTATCAGTATGTAATGAGCAATGACTAATGAGTCCCAAAACCCAAGGCCTATACACTCCTACAGTAAATAGTATTTGAAAATACATAGGCAATCGGTATTGCTCGGGTATCAGCATACATACTTACATTGGCTAATCATTGATTTCATGGCTGCGCAAGGTTGAATCTTCACAGCAATGTTAGTCTTTATGTGTCCATAGTTCCATACATATCGACTATCGTACAATGTGTCCTACGGACTTCAGTGATAGTCCGTTGTGGTATATTTTTAATATCTCTCTACTAGTAGTAGAGGGTCATGACAATGAACATACATCAGTGAACATACATCAGTGACTTGTCATCGCATAAAACTATAAGCTATGTCACGTTCAATGCATCCCTGGTTCATAACATGATGAGAACCGTTATAGTTTCTATTGCCGAACCCTTAGTATTATTTGTGTAAGTGGGTCATGGTTGCTTGGTGCATCACGTATTGGGTTTACCGTTCACATTATAGTTCTTGTTGCTGAACTTCACGCACAAAGTCGACTGGCTACACTGAACATGCATACTTTGGTCGTATAGTGAATATGCTGTTCACGTTTAATCTTGTTCCAGCCATCTCGACTGTCTTATCAAAGCTGGTAGTTAATATTAGTGCGCATATATGGCTACAAACACAAACAACACACACACACGCATATATGTATATTTATATACATATACATATAGATAGATGTAGATGTATAGTCTATACACACACACATATATACATGCGTGTAAATTATATAGATATATATCATATTACAAGTGTGTGTGTTTATATATATATATATATATATATATAAATCATACTATAAAGCATGATATGGCATAAATGATCGATTTGCCTGTATGTATACATGCATATACCTCATATAATAGTATGTAAATACGGAGACACAAAACTGACTAATGAGTTCACAACGATAAATACAACGCAATGCAAATACAGCAACTTAGCAAATCGAAAGAAAGTATAACGAATTAACACCGATATACCATGCATGTTAAGCAGAGGTGAAAGCCTTAACATGTATCATGGAACTGTGCTATTTCATAGTGTATAAATGAATATTGTATGCGTATGTCGAGTATTGGAAAATGTGGATGATGTAGAGGTATATGTACAAGTGTAAATGCATATATATATATATATATATATATGCGTACATAAACACTTATGTCAGCACATGTCTAATGCGAGATGGCTTCGACACATAGCCCAAACATGTATACCCGAAGCAAAACAAACTACACAGAACAGCTGAACAAGCAACACAGTTGCAAGTACGAAGACATGGCGAACATATACGATGCATGCCAGACCGAGGTCAAATCCCCGGCCTTGCATTTATCGTATACCGTCGCCATATCTTTGTGTCTCCATCTGGGTCGCAAATCCAGCTCCTCTATGCTGTTTATTGCGGAAAGTGTATGCGACTTAGCGCTACTGTGCCATTTCACAGTGTATAAAAATATATTTATTTATGTGTATGTCGAAGTATTGGAATATGTGGATGAATGTGTAGGTATACAAACAAGTATCTTTGCGTCTCCATCTGGGCTGCTTATCCAGCTCCTCTATGTTGTGTATTACGGAAAGTGTGTGATTAAAATGTATGGAAGGAGATTTCCTTCGCGCTGATTTCAGTTTAAGCTCAGATTGAGCTTCCTTGAAATACTAATTGCACATGGATTTAATGACTTAATCGCCTATGTCGCGATGAAGATAGTCTTCATATATTCGCTTGTGCATGTATGTATCGATGTACTCATCACACGAACACCCATTGAGTGTCAGCTCATGTCTCTATCGCACGGACCATACAGTATGTGCTTCTACACGTCGGTACTTCCTCGGCAGAAATCTTGGTCTGTCGCATTGCCGTGGTGACAAAGTTGTCTACCAATCTGACGTGGCTCTCCCCTTCCCATTTAAGCTTCATGTTTCTGTCATTCGACCCAAAATACGATTGTACATAAGCAGTACAATCAAAATACATGAATGTCTTCCCACAAGAGAGTTGACTAATCTGCCCACTATGAAAATAAGACTCGAAAAGTCATATAGGCTATACTATATGAACACTCATTCGAAGTTCTGGTTAAAAATGATAAACGCAAAGTACTGAGCACACGAGATTTCGAGTGATTGCGATTCTTTTCAAAGCACATACCTGGGCATCTGACGGGCAGAAGATACACTTCCAGCAGAAGTACTGGCACTCGTTGAACCTCAGATCACAACCTGAATTACAGCATAACGTTCGGAAGTAGCACTGGAATGGCTTCAGTACGCAGAACATTCCACAGCATTCGACACAGGATGACCCAGACAATTCGTAGGTTAGATCCAGAGCTAGGTTGTCGCTTGCTATGTTCATGAAATCTTTGCCGGATTGCGAGTTCTCTTCTGTGTAATGGAGATGGAGATGATATAGTTAGTGTTGTTAAACAAAGCAACCTTGCTCTTACGTTCTTGCGATAGAGTTGGCTATTAGGTGCGCGTGTGATAGCTTATATTATATGATCGGCAAATCATAGCCAAAATGAAGCATACATACTACCAAGGTCTTGTAAACGTACTAATCTAGTCAGATGTGTAAACAATAACATTACAAAAACATGGCGAACACAGAAATACTCTTGTCTGGTTCATTTCAGATACAATCTTGAGTGATACTTAGAAAAAAATTATAACGTTGAAATTGTCTCTAGAAAACACACAATCTGTCAGGAGCAGGCAAACCATCTTCTTTTGTCAATGTGTAAAATCTATTCGTGATAATAACGACATTGATTCAGCAACTACGGACTGCATATACATTCTATACTCCCTACTCCCCAACCCTCCTATAAAGTAGCATGAAGTAGTACGTAGCACGGTTTCTCGAACACGTACACTTACCGGAAGTTGCTGTGCTGACCGCTCCAGGCTGGGCAGTGACGAGGTGGCTGAGCACATACTGTAATTGCTGTTTGTTCTTCAGTTCACGGCCCTGGTAGTTCAAGTGCTGCACCTCCTTGGGAACCCCAGAGTGCTTGTTGATCTCATCTTTTAATGCAAATACACTTGAATCGGCTGGCAATTCGAATTCAAGTGGTACATCGTTCTCTGGGCGGTTGACAGTCACACGCATTGTGGTATGTAGCGTAGATTTGTTGTTAATTACTGCACAATCTATTGCTCGGTTGTTTCAGAATGAGTCCAGTATAGTAGCTCTCGCAATTAATATAATAAACTTACTTTCTCCCAGTTCCCCACACATCTTGGAGACCAAATCAGCACAAACACAAAAGAGAAGAGGTCGTACATTGCTACACAATAGTCACGCTCACCTGCCGTGCATGACTACGGGTAGTACGGGCTGTACGGCTGCAGCAGTGCAGCGTGATTACCCATTTTAACTTCAAAAAAAAATCATACACCATGAACATGGAAACTGATGCGCTTAGATTGGATGCTGCGCTCATCAGGATCTTACGCATATATGCACGAATCATACGTATCTATTTGAAAAGTGTCCAGTTTTGGACTTTTGGGCTATGTATTTATTTTATAATCCTCCTGTGCCAGTGTGGGCACTGTCAGTAAATAGTATTTACCCCAGGGCCCAGAGTCGAGGCTATCATACCAGTCTCTACTGTCATATATCAGATAAAACGATATTTACAAATACACGGGGTCCAAGGGTTATTTTTCAAGAAAATAGGCCTCTTGGACTCTTGGTGCGGTCGATATATACTACTAACAAGTTAAAACTTGGTTTTAAGAATGGAACTTGATTAACGATCAAGCACTGAATAAAAACTTGGATTCCGGAGATGAGTCATGAATAGCAGTTTTATAAAAGGCGGGAAATCGGCAAGTTATAGAATGCCGTATTTCCACTATATTATTCTCTGGTTCAAATTCCTAATGGAAAGACCTCATATCAGAGCAAAATAGAATCCTGTCACTTTAGAGGTGAAGCATACAGGAGCGCGCTTTAACATGCTCAGAGTCATCTGCATATATCTTCGGTAGTATGTATACGTGTATCAATCACTCTTAGAATTGATATTTCTAGACAGGTGGTATATAATAAACATATACGTATCTATAATAATATACTTTTACAATTTCATAAACGAATACATCAATTCGAATACAAGCGGAAGGTGTCCTACGTAGAGTAGTGACTGCACTATGCCGCCTTTTGACCCAGAGACACCTGTACGAAACAAACGAAAGAATGTACGAACGCCGTCAAAACCTAGTCGAAGGTAACTGGTATATGTATATATGTATGTGAATATATATATATATATATATATATATATATATATATATATATATATATATATATATATATATATATATATATATATATATATATATATATATAATAATATATATATATATATATATATATATATATATATATATATATATATATATATATATATATATATATATATATATA